ACCTGATATAAGAACGCCATTACCGACTCCCCCATTAAATCTTAGTAAGATTAGCATGTACCTAAGTCAAATGCGAAACCAATTGCCGTTTCAGTTACTCAATCGCAGGGCATATCCACTCCCACTATGAAACGTGTTCCTTCTCAATCGCCTAGCACTGCCTCAAACACCGCGATCCAAAACATTACGTGCTTCCAACTAACCCCAGACCTCAAATCGAGGCGGTTAGGACGAATACGCCGACATTCCTGCCTTTTAATATAACTCTTGCTCCAATGGAAGCAGTACGTGCCCCACTCCGAATCATTTTTTCACCAACGGTCGTTTTACAAATGCATTCCTCATGCTAATGTTCATACTGAGTCAGTTAGCTCATCCGATCCTCAGTTTCCTTCCGGCGGGAATACGTTATATTTTTTGGCCCGTGTATTTCCAGCTGAAAATGAGTTAGCTACCAAAGGTCCCCAGTTTCTCTGCCCGTCATTTCACCCCCCCCCCCAAGTCCTACTCCTTTTTATTTGCGTCAGAATCGTTTCATGCCACAAATTATTTGCAGATCCGGATGGGTACATCCGGACCGTGTGTTCCGTGGTCAGCCAAGCACTGAACGACGTAGCCCACCTCCCTCAGAATAACAGATTTCACCTCAAGCTGTTTGTACTAGATCCTTGCTAAATAAGATGTCCTTGCTTCAGACTCTGGTGTTCGTACATTGTCCAGATACTGTTTTAGTAACTGAGACATGGGTATCAGGTTTCGTAGCTGACTCCGAACTCTCTCTTCTAGGCTATACTTGCATTCGAATTGATCGTCGAGACAACCGTGGGGGGGGGGCAGCTGCGTCTACGTTAACTAAGTACTTTCACTTCTGCCGCTGGACCTCCCGGATTTTTCCGCGGTAGAAGACAGCTGCTGGCCCCAAGCCGCTCTGAAAAATTAGTTCACTTAACCCTTTGGCTGTGTCTGTCGCCCTCTCAAGGCCAATGAGAATTTTGCTTGTTTACCCTCACAGACATTTCATGCTACGGTTGACTTAAGATTTAGGCATCAATTGGTTGCGGGCGACTTAATTTTCCTGAAAGCCGCTGGTCTCCGAAGCATTCCAATTCACTGAAAACAGTCGTTAAATGCCTCGAAACTTTTCTCCCCTAAAGTGCGAACTCACAGAAAGACGCAGCGTCCCACTCACCAAGAGGCTCTCGGCAAATACGATTTTCCCATCCCTCTTATGCAAGATATTTATTATCGCTCTTGAAAGTGAAACTTATCCTACCCTGTGGAAGGAATCACACATTTTGCCCATTCCTAAGCACGGCATATCCACGTCATTTGATGACTTTCGGCCAATAAGCACCATCTTCACAGTTCCGAAGATGTTAGAGACATCGATCAAAGTTAAGATGATGTGCCACTTAACAGAGAATAACCTACTGAGTGCTGCTCAGCATGAATTCCTCAAAGTTCTGTCATGTGACGCCTGTCGACTGTCTTTGTACAATATGTTCTCCACTCTAGGGACAACGGTTTTGCACATTACACTGCATATTTCGATTTCAATAAGGCTTTTGATCTTGTTGGTCATGCTACTCTTCTTTCCTTGAAACCTTCCTCCTTCGGAATAGGTGGCAAAATTCTAAATTTTATATCCTTTTACCTGAGCATTCGTACACAACGAGTTAAAATTTCCAATGCTATCTCCAACCACACATGTGTGAGGAGTGGAGTCTACGTTAAGCAAACACTTTCATTTTTGCCATTGGACCTCCCGCACTTTTCAGCAGTAGAAGGCAGCTGCTGGCTTCAGGCTGCACTAAAAAATAAATTCTCCTTACAAGTTGGCTGCGTCTATCGTCCTCCCAACGCCACTGAAAATTTCGATCGTTTAATCTCACAGGCATTTCATGCTGCGGCTGACTCAAACTTTACGTATCAATTGGTTGCGGGTGACTTTAATCTCCCTGAAGTCCGCTGGTCTCCGCCTTCAGGCCCCAGAAAGTTCGATGACTTTCTTGAGGCTGTGGATGTTGGGATGTGGAATCAGGTTGTCGATTTTCCTACCCGAGGCTCAAGCATACTTGACCTAATATTCTGTAGAGGCTGCTTGCCATCGTCAGTGTCATCCCTAGGCCCACTCGGGGGCTCAGACCATGACATAGTTGTTTCAACGTTGGAATTCAAGGCTGACAAAACGTCGTCCCCAAAGTATAACTTTTTCCGCGATTTCCGATCCACTCGCTCAACCGAATTATTAACACACCTTAATTCCTACGACTGGACCGATTTCCTCCTTAGTTCGGATGTAAATGTTTACACTGCAAAACTGTACGAAATATTAGATCCGCTTATTTCTCGTTTTGTCCCCCGTAAGAAAATTATTAATGCTGGGAATGAGATATTCCCACCCTTACCCTTGCGTCGCAGATTGCGCAGACTTTATCGTCGTTTCCATCTGCAGAACGATGTTTCTGTTCTGCCCTTGATTTTTGATATTTTTGATCGAACTAAGAGATTGTTTGAAGAAAAACAGCTAACCGAAGAGGTCCAGTTTACCGAAAACCATTCGTTAAATGTCTCGAAACTTTTCTCTAAAAAAATACGAACTCAGAGAAAGACGCAGTATCCCATCCTTCGAGACGATCTCGGAAATCCCATAGTTGATACCCAGTTAACCGCTGATAGCTTCAATGATTTCCTGTCCAAAACGTTTATTGAAGACTCGACCACTCCGCTTCCGACCATCCAGTCATTGACCGGGGCAGTTCTAGAAACTATAACTTTCACTCTGTGGGATGTGACTGTTGCGATTCGGCGTTTTCGTCAATCTTATAGTCCAGGCCCTGATGGTGTCCCAGTAAGCATTTTAAAAGCCGATGCAAACACGATCTTCCCATCCCTCTTATGCAAAATATTTAATCTCGCTCTTGAAACTGAAACTTATCCTACATTGTGGAAGGAATCACACATTCCGGCCATTCCTAAGCACGGCAAATCTACATCATTTGATGACTTTCGGCAAATAAACACCCTTCCTGCTGTTTCGAAGATCTTAGAGACATTGATCAAAGATAAGATGATGTGTCAGTTAACGGTGAATAGCTTACTGAGTTCTGTTCAGCATGGATTCCTCAAAGCTCGATCTTGTGACACCTGTCAACTCTCTTTCTTTGACTATGTTCTCCGATCTAGGGACACTGGTTTTGCACTTTACACATTATATTTCGATTTCACCAAGGCTTTTGATCGTGTTGACCATGCTCTTCTTCTCTTGAAATTGTCCTCTTTCGGAATAGGTGGCAAACTTTTGAATTTTCTATCCTCTTATTTGGGCACTCGCACACAACGAGTTAGGATTTTCAATACCATCTCCAACCCCACACGTGTGAGGAGTGGAGTCATTCAGGGTAGTGTACTCGGCCCGCTTTTATTTTGCCTTTTCGTTAATGATGTACCCGATTTATTTCAGAATGGTAAGCCTTTCATGTATGCCGATGATCTTAAAGTTGCATATCGATATAGGCCGGCAGATCATGACATCGTGCTTGAGCTCCTAAAGAGCGATCTACAGGCTTTCGCCCAGTGGTGCCGCACATGGCGCCTTTCTCTCTCTCTCTCTCTCTCTCTCTCGGCATAAGTGCTCAGTCATGCTGATTGGCGACGACCAACAACCTCAACTAGGTATTGACGGTCATGAAATAAATTGGCCTGGGAGCACTCGTTCCGTTGTGCATTAAGGGCCCTCTCTCGTGCCCAACCAGCAGTCGAACAGCGGCGCATGAAATACAGGCAGAATGGTAGAGGAGTGGACTTCTAAACCAACAGGTCGCGAGTTCGAGGCTCGGGTGTTCCACACTTCGGGCTTGGGTACGGCTGGCTGACGACGGCTAATAAGCCAGAAATGGCCATTCCAGTCTCCCTTGTCATTGTCGGTAATACTATTCTGCCTCTAATCGTACCTTTAACCCACTCACTACTTTAAGACATCTTGTCCACCCCGACGTAACAGTCACCGTGAGGTCTTCTTATTTCTTGCCCTGACACGCACAGTTAAATATCGTCGGTTCTTTTCTGTAAATGCAAATGCTATTTGGAATAAACTACAACAGGAATGTGAAAACTCTGCAAAATTATCCTTTATTTAAGAGAATTATTACTCGATTTTTCCATTTAGAAAAACTTCTAAAATTTTTGTGTGCTGAATCCACCGATCGACTCTGCCGTAGCGATGGCGTTTGTGGTCTCTGATCACTATGACCGGTCGGATTAGGGACAATTTCTTTATCCAAGGGCGCTTCTGTTTGGGCCAGCCCCGAATTCATAAAAAGAATTGACGACTGATAGTATCGGATACAGTGCTACCCCTCCCATTTTTACCTTCGGCATTTCATGATTAGCAGATTTTTTTCTCCGAGGCCCTCCATAGTGTTAAAACCACCATCTGCTTTATTTTTATCTCCTCTTTTTCAACAGAAATTTCAATGCTGCCCGGATTTGTGTTTAGCTCTACCCCGACAATGCCTGTAAACGGACGTTAATTGCAATTGGTACCATTATTATTATTATTATTATTATTATTATTATTATTATTATTATTAAATGAAGATGTTCCAGTGGTATACGAGAACTTTATTTGACTTAGCATCATACTTTCATTGATTTTCCCTGTTTTATTTTTCCCAGGCTCCGCTTTTACACATTTAAATACTCCCCGGAAGTCATTTACTTCTGCCTGCTCCTTATTCCTTGCAGTTTTTCTGTTTTCGCTACTTACACAACTTTTTAGGCATTCGCCTTTAATTCTTGCGGCCTATGTCATTGGAGTCTGCCTGCCCTTAAAGTCCTTGATGCAGAACTTCCGTCCAGATGATAATGTGATGTAGAAATGCAGTTCGGAGTATTCTGCAATGAGATACTTTTTCCATGTCCTTGGTTTTGGAATTTCTTATTTTACTGTGCTGTATGATAGGAGCTGCTTTTAGAACTACTCAGCGCTTTCCCCGATAATGGAAGTTGACCTATACGAATATTTCGGCATACCCATCGAGTCGTCCTCTAGAGATATAAAGAGGGCGTATAAGGCCAAAGCGAAAAAATTGCATCCAGATAAAAATAAGGATAATCATAAAGCCAGTTCGTTTTATTTACTTTGATATACTTTCTTAGAGGAGGAGTTTCAGAAATTGAAAGAGTATTATGACATTCTTTTGGATCCCGTCCAGAGAGTAACGTCATTTTTATTGTGTAATATGAGTAGGCACAATATGACCTGAAAATTAAAGCTAAACTCGCGATTAGTAGGCGAAATGCCGAAATGGATAGCGAACGTCGCAAATTGAAGGAGCGTAAGTGATTTTCTTCTACACTGCTTTCTATTTAATTTTTACGGGCGGTCTCGTTTCACCGGCATTTTTTATGTGGCTTATTTGATTTTGATCTACTAGACCTCATTGAAATTGGAAGCCTGTTTATACAGGGCCTTTTATGATTTGCTTATTTTATCACGAGTAACAGGAAATGTACTAGATTCTGTACTTCTGTGAAAATGCACTTCAGTTTCTCTAAGTAAGTTTGCCTACGTCCTGGCCCTGACGACATTTGCAATATTAACCGCTGTAATACTTTCATTCAGCTCTTTCAAATCAGCGACCCAAAACATCTTAGAAATGAAGAAATTTATAATATGTGAAAACTAATGTCCCGATACCCGGTTATTCGTCCAGGTAGCTATCACTGTGACCAAATGTGAGCACTATGATTTACCCCAGGCATACGAGCACGGACACTTTTCTTGGATAGGATCAGTGCAGTGCGTATGGCACGGTGCTCTAGATTCGACTGGTTGTTTCAGTTTGATGGATGGATTGCAGACTTGCTTCGTTATCTCCTTCTAAACTGTAAAAGTCTTCCTCTTCAGCAACAAGGGTGTTATCCGTAATCAGCTGCTTTTGCATAGTTTCGCTATTACCAGGAGATTTCACTCCTCACCTAAACTGTTATTTCTAAACTCTTTACTTTATTTTCTTCCCATCGGCATTAAGTGGGCTCCGAGTCAAACTCTATTCCTTACATCGCCTCTTAGTACGTCTTTTCGACTCGGAATTGCATGTCACATTACAATTTGTAAAACGGACGGCGATCTCCCTAATAATATGGTCTTTCGAGCTTCCACCTGAGTTAAAAGCGTTTTCTGCGGCTCTTAGGTGCAGTTAACGTCGCTATTCTTAATATAGCACTAAATTTCCTGACACCTTCAACCTAGGACTTAAAACAACGGACTAGTTGGTTTTCTCTTGAGCCTTCTTTCTTCTAACATGTTTTGTGAGTTTTTCATGATCCCAATTTTAATGTAATTCTTTGTTTACTGTGTTAACCCTCATTATTCAAATCACTTTGCTATCCTGCAATAATTTTTACCTCTCATACTACCTTTTAATCAGTTATTATTGAAATTTTATCCGAAGACTAAAGTGTTTGTGAGCCGCGCCTTTACATTTCACGGATTTCACATTTGCCTATTTAGATTTTTTCTTAGTAGATTTCGCTCCCACTGCCAAGATTCCTGTTATTTGGATTTTTTTATTTTTTGCGTGAAATTTCCTTAGGACCCAGTCAGTAGCGACAGTAGCCACAACTTCCTTTTATGTCGGAAATCCAATTCGATGCGCGCCCTACCAACTTTGGTCTAGTAAACGTAATTCACAATATCCATTTTACACTAATATGAGGACCAACTCGAGATTCCCCCGTCGTAGGTACCTTTCTTACTCATCTCCGAAAAACGTGTTCAGCTTCACAAGCCTTCAGTTCAGAAAAGGCGTCAAAAGGCGTGCAGAAAGGAGTTTTTACACATACTAATCAGACACGGCCCACTTGGTTGTGCTTTTTAGTCTTCTTCTTCGTTCACGAAATCTCAACTCATCATCCTGAAGTTTGTTTAATTATTTCGCCCGCACTACGCTGACTGATATTTTACACCCCAAACCTCCAGAATTGGATGCCCGTGAGCGGGAGGCTGCTGTCCGGCAAAAGGAGGCGCAACAACATCACGAAAAGGAAAGGGTAGCCGCTCGCATTCGGAAGGAGTGGGAAGCTCAAGTCGAGGCTGCTGCCTTCGCTGCTCGTCAGGAACGTCTTCGTCGTGAAGAAGAAGAGTCATTGAGCGCCAAGAGGCCTTACACCGCTGCCGATTCAGTCGTCACTGTAAGTTTCTCCTTGCAACCTCATCAGCTCAGTTTGATAAGACTAAGTTCGTGGTTATATAGATAAATACTCTTTATACGCAACATATATTAACATCCCGGTTTCATTTAGCGGTTTATCGCAAACACCTCATCAAGAAAGGACGTTCCGTCAATTTCGTGTACATTCATACGCCTACAAAGATGTTTGGCGCTCTGTTGTCCGACTGTACTTAAATGAAGAAAGAACCCGATAATTCCAAAGAATCTCTCGCATAATGGCTACACTGCTAGTGCAAAACCGGTGATTTTATCTAGGCTATGGGATGACACTTCGTTTCGTCTCACGCATAGAAGCCTGCATCCAGTCACCGCATATTTAGCTACGAAGCCCGTAATTTTTGTACTAAACTATTCGAGGAAATTATTACTATGTTCGCGTAAGTGTCCATAAACACTGATGTATCGCAACAATAACAGCACTTCCTGTTGTTTCCTCTGCCCATGCAACTTATCCCATTGAAATTGAACGAAATGTCTTGATTTACGCATTCTCCGCTTCCGATAGCTTAATTTACTGGGGATTGTCTATGTATTATGCGTATCTCACCATCACTATCATATAGGGATGACTGTGGTACGGTGGTACGGACTGTTGAAGAGGGAACCCGAGGCAGGTGAAAAACTTTCCTCCAGTTTCAAACATCCATACTTCCAGAGAGTCGTTTTTAACCTGAGCTACATGACATTTGACATTCCCTCAGTTTTGACACACTACAGAGACCCAGTGTATTCTGCAATAGGTTTCAGTGGGTGGAAAAGGCAATGCTCCTTCTGCCTGTAGACGGCAAATCACATTTAGGAACTAGCTTATAGTACATAATTCAGTTTAGTAGCAATTAAATTTTGGCAGTGCACGCAGTTTCCATACCGATCGTGTCACTTGACCAGTAGTGGATATGTGGGTTGTAAACGCCGAATAATAAGTGTAGAACTGTGCTTCATGTAATCGCCAGTCGAAAAGCACGTTCAGGCCTTGTACCTCCATGTAGTTCAGTCAGCGTAGAAATTTCAGCAAGCCGACAAACGCCCGATACTTCCTTTTGGGGGACCTCTTTGGTTCTTCTTTTTCGGTCGCGTCAGCTGCAATATGTAACCATTGCATTGAGCGAAAATTCATAAAATTTGTGTCGTTCACTGCAAAAAATGCATTTTTCTTGTAGGTAAAGTGGAATGCAAAGGATGCCGGCCGAAGCTGCTATAGTAAGGACTTCCTCCTGACATGTTTGGCTGAAGTATGTTTGAGGATTCTTGCAAGCTGTTTTGCCATCTCTTGTTATACTTGTCAAATCACCATTTGGTGTGCAGAATCTAATCAACACAGAAGGATTGCATGCCAAGGCAAAGTGTATCCGTTTCCTGTCTACAGCGGCTTGCACCAACATGACCCCCTTTGACGTACCCTTTTTGTCTGTCAAATTGAGTTTCGGCTGAATGGGTTTCCGGTTTCAGATGAAGTTAATACTTTAAAGTCGAAGTGGCTTAACATATTTGACGTTTAAGCTAAGACTTGCCGCTTAACTATGTCCTAACGAGGGAATTCACTCCGTATTTTCTGGTTTTAGTACTATGGGCTCGATTCGCTACGATGATTCATTAATTTTCTCTAGGCTCGCCTCTTTGAAAAAGACAAAACGCCGCCCCTAGTTTGTAAGGGCTAGCCGTTTTACTAATAGCGATGTCTTCTACTAATTTTTAGCCTTAGATTTAGAAATAAAGCCCACTTTGTGATTACTCCTGGGACCTCTTAGCAAGCGGAGGTACCAGTGTTAGACAAACGGTCCGAAAGTACGATTTTTTCGCATACCGTGGAAGCTCCAAGGTTGTCTAACTGAATTCTTACTGACAATCCTCTTTCACAACATGGCCGATTATGGATTCATAAGGCAATGATAAAAAACACTCGTGTACACCTACTTTTCTTCTTTTTTTTTATCTGAGAAAGTATCTGTGGCAAAGTTTTCATGTAAGGTGCGCAATTTTCCTCGTCTTATGGACAGCAGAGATCTCATTGTCGCCACGAGCGTCTTCTTTCGAGAATTTTGATTACATTTTCAATAACATGTTTGCGTTTCCCCGATGGTCAATTTTATTTACTATATTTCCCGAACATTTTGCTGTGTAAATGGCTATTTTCTCGTCCGAAATGTTTAGGCTTCTGAATTTCCATCTGATAACACTTGATCACGTTGCTTCTGTCCCGTTCAGCCGTGTCCCAGTTGATGGTCGGGCTTGTGTTGGTACAAGCTCTCAAGTTCGTATTTTCATTCTCCATAACGCGATATACTGTTAGCCTAATCGTTTTTCTGAGCGCTCACGATTGTTTTTTAAATGATTTTTACTCGCACGTTTGCATTATTTTAGTTTGGCAATATTACGGATTTGGTCATGGGAAAACGAGGCAGTGCGGTCGTCGAATTTTCATCCCGTTTTGAAGCCGTAAGTTCAGGAAACCTCTTAATGCATAACACCCAAAGTTATCCTCTAAACAACCACTTTTTTGACGAGCTCGGCTGCAGAGATTGACACAACGTAAGGCCTTCGTTTACGCGTACCGTGCGCATGCTGACCCGTACAAATACATCACAAACAATAAGCCTCTGGGCCGTGGCCGCCTATCAGGCACACTCACAATCGTAGAGAAGGACTGGCCAGATGGATGCCTGGTGCACGCGAACCTTAGTGGCGATGGGGATGTCGCAATGGGTCTGTAGACACTTTCTAAGGATTGAGACAGTGTCATCCTCGGTCCAAGGTTTTTGAACCTGTCTGGTTCTTCAGGTTGGCAGCAATTAATTCCGAGAGGTATCTTCTCCTGGTCAAGGATACAGCTCGACAGCAACTTGATCTCGCCAGCCTTCATGGGTAAACCGATCGAAGCTTCGATTTCATTCACCTGTTGAAACCACAGACTACAAACCACCAAATCTTGACACAAGCATGGCAACATTGTCAACGTAGTCTAGATCAGTCAGCCGTCGTCAGGGTGTGGACACTACACCTTCAAAATCGTGTAGGACCTATCCGACGATCCAGTCAATGGCGTAGTTGAATTAAAAATGCGCGACAGGGTGCAGCCCTGTCGAACATCAGATCGCATATCGAACGGTTGGGAGGGATTTTTATGGACGAGAACTCGCGCAATGGTGAAGCGATAGTAGGCCTTGATCAGGGCGATTATTTTGCTCGGTGCACCATCTTGTTCCATATTCTCCACGGAGACTCACGATGGGCGGAATCGAACGCAGCAGCCAAGTCAACAAAGCAGACGACCGTCGGTTGCTGGTTGCTATGGTGGGATTCTAGAATGCGTGTTAGTGTGAACATCTGGTCCGCGCATCCACCCCCAACCCGGAATCAGGCTATGTTTGGCCTCATCCTAGAGTCACACACAGACTGGAATCGTCTGAAAAGATCGGCAGTGAAGACCTTAACAGAAACATTGATCAGTCCTACGCCGCGGTCGTTCTCGCGCTTGGTTTTGTCTCCCTTCTCTAAAACAGGCACAAGGATGCCCGAGCCTTAGCTATTAGGAACTAACCCATCTCTTCTCGCCTGCCCAATCACCTCATGGAGGCGGGGCGCCAGAGTGTTGACACAAGACTGTAGATTCCAGTCGGAATACCGTCCTCTCCGGGGGCCTTGTTGTTGTGGAGCCTTTGTATTGCATCGGTATCTTCTCCCTCAAAATGGGGTCCCACGATACCGCATAGGCTGGAGAAGGATAAAACTCCACTGCAGAGGAGAGCGAGCGTGTGGTGTGTGTTGCTCATAAAAGTTGAGAAGGTGCTCGAAGTGCTCACACCAGCGGTCGATCTTGATCGGGTTGCCAGATAGCGGTCACTCACATCGCTAGATGTTGAGGCCTTGCCACTGATTTTACGGATAATTTGATAGAGTTTTCGAGTGTGGCCAACGTTCGAGGCCCGTTCCATGGAGGTCGCTATTTCAGCTCAGTATTTCTGCCTGTCATTTCTAGTCGACTTTGCTGTCTTCTTATAAACTTGGCGTAAGGAGGCATCGTTGCAGTACCTAGCCCGGGCCGTCGGGGCAGACAACTGCGGGGTTTTTCCGCCGATCCAGTCATTGCGGCACCGTTGGGTATATCTAAAAAAATTTCAGCTGTCCAGTGGACTGATGATTTCAGTGATGACCATTGGCCACTTTCTTCCCCGTAGGCTCGAGTCGTAATAACGGGACCGGACTTCTATGCTCAGAGCCTCAGAACTGAGGGGTTTTTGAGGTTTCACAACATCAAAGCGCCTCGCACGTTGCATTTGAGGTGCAGATGAGAGGTCAACTTTCAGGCGCGTGCAAACGAGAACGTGGTCAGACCCGTGGGCGTTACCAGTTTGAGCACCGCGCATTAACATGCTATCGTAAATCCAACTGCGGAAACTCGAACCAGCATATGGTTGCGCAATAACTGCGTACTATAAACACCGCATCTTTTTGCGTCTGCTGCCTCTCTCAGTTACCGTTTCTGACGATAGGTTCGATGGTGAACCCTAAACATTAGCCGAATATAATTCTTTTTTGTCAATCGAGTCTTCTGCATCCCAGTAAAATTTTGCGTTGGGGTATATTTGTAGAAACGGGTTGAAGTCACTAGCGTGCTGGCGTGTAGGAGATAAGGCTTGCAAGCAGAAGAAGACAGGGATAGCCATCCAAACGCCAATCCAATACCGATTTTCCTCGGACATGCTTCTAAAAGTCGCACTTTGGGAGGCTGCAAACCGCCGGGATTATTCGGTCCTGGGGGCTGCGATAGCTACTCTCTTCGATGTTGCACTCGGGCCACTCTTGAAGTTTGCTTGCGTTCCTTTTGGGACTAGATGTGTCCTAGAAGTGGACGCGAATTGAGTCACACCTACTACAAGTCACCTCGACCCTGTCTTGCCATTAAAGCATCGCCGGTGAGGAAACAGGAGGTAAGGCATATGGTCCACAAGGTCTTTCTCGCTACAGAGCGACTCCTGTTCACATACCCACTTCGTCGCCCGAACTGTGCTGGTCCTCATCGATTGCGTTGGGCGGACTATCAGTCTCTTCAGCGACTGATTCTTGCTATGCCCGCATCCGCAGCCTGAAGCAGGATTTACACGCCGGCTTCCCTCGGACTGTTGGCCGTTGAAACTGCTTGTGCACGGTTGGCGGTTGTGGTGCTCTGTCAAAGATGCCCACACTGTTTTTTGATGGCCATGTCCAGTTACTACTGGGTCGGGACCCGCTACTCCTGGAGGTTGGCGTCTAGGCGAAGTCGAGCTGAGGGAACTACTCCAAGATTATGATTGAGGCACTTTGGTAAGCAATGTAGGTGGTAAAAGTGGAACAGAACACTTTTGTGTTGAGTGCACACAGGTCATTGTAACCCACTTTAGAGCCACTGACGCCTCTCGGGCAGGTTAGCTGGTGCGGTCTGCTCGTGGTTCAGTAGACAGAGAACTAGGAGCGGGTTTCGCAGGGCGACTGGCCTGAAGCCGATGGCACACCTCTTATATGAAGGGATTACTTAGTAAGCACCTGAGCGTTATATCTAGGGTTTTCTGCTCTCGACAGATGTTCAACGCCCTTTTACACTTGGGAGTTGCCTCGCGCGTCCCAGCCAGGCTTGCGTACCTTACGCAAGTGCGCACTCAGAGGTCCCTACTCCATTTCCGCATCCTCAACAAGCACCAGCGTCATAGCGGCCCAGTTTCTTTCATAGCCTATTACTGCCAAGGCCGCTGATCTTATTTGCTACGTTCCCTTATGAACCGCAATAAAACTTCCTCTCCCATTTCTATCTGCTCAGCCTGCTGCCTGTCGTTTATTTCCTTGCCTCAGGTCGATGCCGTCGAGAAGGCGTCGACGGATTGCGTTGGTTATCCGGATAATCCACTGCTCATCTCTCTCGTCGGAGGCGGTAATCGGCAGACGAAACCGCAACCCCCGCAGTCTCCTGAGCATCCCAGTGTCGAACCTGCGACAAACGACATCAATGTAAGCTCCCTGCTTTGTGTTTTTATCTCCCCCCGCCCTTGGGAGATTACCGTTTTCTCAAATTCCTGATAGTCAATGGATGTTTTTGCACTTTCCTTCTTTATTTCAGGGAGGCTTCGAAGACTTTGAGTCTGACATTCTTTCACAAATGGCCAGCTTCCAATGAGCTTCATTCTTCTACGGAAGCACATGTACATAAGAGTGTAAAAATAAAACCGACTGTTGTTTAATTTCCCAAGTATCCTCAACCCGCTGCCGGACAAGAGGCGAATCCACTTCTAGATAGGAGTTGCGTTCGATTTCAGAAACCTCCCAAGACTTCATCCGTGAGTCAGTCGTCTTCGGCAGAACACTAGTCACGCTTAAAGTCGCCATCAACTCCTGGGGCGAATTCACCCCAGTCAGCTAATCATGGGCGCCTGTAAATCAACTAATGGAATTTCTAACGATGACATTGACACATACTCATTCTCACATTCCTTAGTCCTGTATGCATACTGGCTCCGATGATGCCAGCCCATACCTGCTGCTCTGACCGACCCCCAGCAATTGTACAGAATAAAACCCTTTTACTGGTACTGTTATTATTCAACTACTCAACGGAAATCGGCCGCAGTCGTAACAATGAAGAGACGCCAATTATTTTAGCTGTTCTTCGCTCCGTAGAGTTCTCCTTTGCAGTCTAGGGGCCCCTATCAGTATAGCTCTTCGTGAAGCGCAGTAACCGCTGGAGGTTTTAAAGACTCGCCGGTCCATATCATTCTTGATGAACCTGGCTCAGAGAGTAGCCTCACAGGTAAAAAAGCGTCGTGATTTCGGCGGAACTAGCTGTGTGGTCTATGCTAGGCAAAATCGAACTGGCTTTCTCAGTCGTCCGAGCCGTTTTGCCGTCGTTGTGTCATCTTTTAGGAAAACGATTGATGCAACAAAAATAGAAACTATCTTTGGCGGTAAGGACGACGGTCAACAAACGTGATGAAAAATTACAGTAGCTGGTCTTTCTCATGAAATCCTAGTCGAGGTTCCTCACCGTATTTATTAGGGCGAGGCTGTAATACTGATCATCCTGAAGGTTAATCCCGATATATTTCAGTCACGACGGTATACCTGCTTTTGAATGAGCTCCTTTACCACTGCCTGCAAAAACTACCCTCGGAACAAAACCTAATTGAATGTCTGTTGCTGATCCTTGATGTCTTTATAAATTCAAATGTATTTTACTGAAAACTTGGGTAAAAGTATTCTCGTACTCAGTTGGCGGCAACTTACGTCTCCCTTGATCTTTTTTCTTAGAGAAAGGGTGTCTTTCGGTTTCGAAAAATTTTTGTTCCCAAATTTTAACCCGGACTGCAGTTGTACTTGCACCGTGTACGTTCCGTGTAAGGAAAGTCACACATTTCTTTACACCACTAAGAAAACGTCGCATAGAACTGATAAAATTTTACAGTGGATGCGGACCATGTTGTACACTTTATAAGCATCGTTAATAAACGGATAGCTACAGTCCCACATGAATAGGCATGTCAAGGTCTTAAAAATATCAAAATACGGGCATTTTACAAATAAAACAGAGGCGATTTCTCAAAGTATGGAATTCGGAGACGTAATTTGCTACCAAATGAGTACAAAGGAAATATTTTTGTGCATGTTCCGTCTATAATGACATCAAAAATTTACGCGGAAAATTCATAGTCTCCGTAGCCACTTCTTACCGAATGCAGTTTTTCTAGGCAGCCGGGAAAAACTAATTTAAAAGCCGGCATTCTGAAGTGACTGAAATACCTTGGGATTATGCTGCACGATAATCGATGTTACAATCCCGCCTAGGTCATCCTCTCAGATCTAAAACAAATTTCAGAGTTTGGGATAACATTCCATGAGATAGGCTAGTTACTGCAGGTTCCGCTCTTTATGTAGCAGGGGCATTGTCATCGAACTGCGACTCTCGCTGTCCGAAGTATCAGCCAGTCCATGGCTTAATCCAGCGATCCACTTTTCCGCCCGAATTACTGCCTAGGTTGAGAGTTAATTGAAATGACCGAAGCCAAGGATTGTGGAAAAGCAGTGTTGATACCCGTCTTTTCTCACATCTGACTGCGTCACTGTGTTATGCAGCCCTTAATGCCCCCCACGTGCTTTTGCCTGCTCAAGTCAGGCCTTCAGCCTCAATTTACAACATCATGTGACCAGCGTCATGTTTCCCCACGCAACCGACCTATTGGCCGACACACGTTGAAAGAAGATGCGGCTACTGAAGGATATTGGACGAAGTGGCAAGGCCGTATCGGACCTTCACCACGGTTTCCACGTAGGGTGCGCACAAGCATTATTGGCAGTTTCCGCGACAATAATTCCTATGATCACTGTAAATGTGCAGCCGACGTCTTGCTAGACCTGTTGGCAGCCGTTATCTACGAAAAAACTAAAAGGGCGACTGTGTACGTTCTAGGGAAGAGTGCCGCACCGCCTCCTGAAGGCAGAAGTGACGATTGGCGAACCTGCGGCAACAAGACGCTCTCGTTCATCAAACATTTCACTATAATCATGTTTCGGAGTGGCTCCTGCCAATGGCCTCTAGACTGAAGAACGACGTATACCAGAAAATCATGTTCCATTTTTGTGATTTCGTGCGGAGTAACCGTGGGATCCCCCAGGGCTTCACGGTCGAGGCTTATTTTCATTTAATGCATATGATTGTCAGGCGCTGCCTAGGATGGTGCTTCGTGCACCTCAGGCAAGTACAGCACTTCTCCATCCATGAACGCACTTCGTAGCTCAATCCCTCGCAAAATTGGAACAGTGGAATCAGATTGTGACCTAAAACAAGATCGGCCTCCACCCTGAACAGGCGACGTCCAGTCATATTTACGGCATGCTTTGGGGAAATCAAGCGTAGATTATTCAATGCGAGCAACTATTATCCCTGAGAGCCTTCATGAAGCTGTATTTCTACTAATTGGAAATATAGGTGCCTAAACGACGGTAAAAATGGCCACAGAAGGATAAAATTTGCAAAGATATTGGCCAAGTGACAACTTAGAGCCAGCGCCTGCTGGAAAGAACAAGTGGATGCATTGCTAGGATTCGATGTTGTAATCGGTATCCGGCAGGACAGGTGACTGCGCGATAATTCAGCCCACAGTAGCGGTCAAAGACTTTGAGGGTAGCACACACGCGGGGTAGTGCGGAGGACTGGGGATAACTCGTTGCTGGACAAGGCTGTTACACACGTCATAATTCTCATCCAAGCAGGAAGAAAGAAGAGTTAAGCGGGTACAAAATGCGTTCTAGGGACAGGAGTTGATATATCGGAAAACATTAAATGATACAGGGAAGGATGAGAGTTGCATCGGGCAAGTGATCCGTCTGGATGGGGAGTTGACGCCGGTATGTCTGTTAAACAACCGATGAGCAGTGCAGCCCTGCGGGTAACTGCAGGGGAGGGCCGTGAAAGATACCGACGTGGAGAGTAGCCGGTATAAGCGATGCTTCCAGTGTTGTGAGGGGAGCAAGCCGGCGGCTATGTGGGGGCAGAGCACTGGCTATTTTCACTGTCACGAGGTTACACTATCTCCACCCTAGATCCACACTAAATGTCCAGTCAAATTCGTGGGACGTTGAGAGTCAGACCACAGCTCTTCCCGCCGTGACTTATAGCAACTGTCACCTCAGCGAGGTACAGGTTCGTGTGAAATTGGGTGCTAAGTTGTGCGGTACAAGTGGACATGGGGATCTTACTGTCAAGGCAACCATCACGACTGCGTCCATTTCTGGTTTTTTTTGATGCCCTCTTTCGACCGGACCGTTATGGATGTCGGAAGAGTGGATGCATGCTCACTCAGTCGTCTTGTCCGTCCCTTGTAGCCGACGGACAAAAGGGAAGGGGGGGGAGTCAGACTTTGTATCGAATTCTACCCGCAGACGGTGATCATTCCAGATTGACCCTACTGTAACCTGATCGGAGGCTTTCGGGGAGGTAGGTTGAGCGCAAAGGTCACATCAGGGTGACCATTTGGAGTGGCGAACAAAACCAGATGAGAGTACCCAGTGCCTGCCAGTTTATTGTCTAGAAGCATTAGTTGATCTGTGCTGCGCGTAGGTAAGTATACGGGATAAGCCACTGCGGCCTACCACCATCGACATTTGCCTTTAGCTAGTGCTAGTATTGCGGCCAAGGGGCACGAATGAAGCAGAGACGCACACAAGTCTTCTAGATAGCAACAAACTTCACACGTTACCAATCCTAACTGCTCGCGTAATATTTGCACACGTAAGTCTGTGGAAGGGACAGGCCAAAGCACGTAATGACACCCAAAATGCACAGTAATTTTGCCGAATTGCACTTGATAGGGAACGCAATTGTTAGCAGTGTGCCCTAGGGAGTGATTTCTGTTGTCCACGACGATCCAGTATCCAAACAGCAAGGGTCATCTGACGTTCTTCAAAGTTGACTGTAGGTTCTCGCGCTGTGTATAACGGTCTTTGACATGTCGAGTATCCTTTTACACCAAAAGTGCTGAAGGCAGTAGCTGTCTCACTTGATGGCCATTTCCAGGACCGAAATAGTCCTGAGCTGAAGAAAACACTCTGTGGCCTGTTTGCGCATTCTTGTTTATGGCATTTCATGGATGGCCGTATGAGTGATCTACGTTTAGCGTGCAGACACGACGCCGGATGATCTGGCACGTTAAAAGCTAGCTACATCTTGATTGCTTATAAGACGAGGGGAAAAAGCTGAACTCTTTTAACCCATCAACAATTTCCTCCTCCGGCGATGAGTCTGTTAGGGAAGATCATTGTCCTGCTTTAACCACTGTGCCCAGACTGGCATTTCGTATTTCAAGCGAAGTTGCATGAAGACATCAATAGCCTTCCTTCTGAAAATAATCTAAACGTGCGACTTTCCCAGTTCACAGCGATAATTGCTTTCCGATCATCGTTTTACCATGGTTTGACGGCATCAAATCTGCGCCCGTTCTGGTACCCCGATCTCTGTGATTTCGTCCCTTTTAATTCGTTCCGACGGGGGGGTGGGGAGTGGGCAGGGGAGTACTGATATTTTTGGGAGAATTTTCGGCCCGCGTTGAGGTGTGAGAACAAGCAGTTTGAAACGTTTAACTCTAATAGCTACCGTTCCAACAAAACACTCATACACGTTATCAAAATAGAGGATCCCCTGGAAAGCGTCTGACCGCGGTATTTGCCCATTCTTCGTGCGAGAAAGGAAACCTCGTGAGGTAAGCGTGGCCTCGGCAAACGCCACAACGTACTGTTTTTTCGAGGTACTTTATCAGGCGTCCTTTAATGAGGTACTCCACTATTTTGAATCATACGCAGATGGGACTGACTGGACGGTAACTTTTTGAGTCTGGTTGTGATTCTCACCTATTAGCCGGTAGTTAATTGCACTATGTTATTCATTCATGAGTTTAACTCCTTTAGAATACTCCCCAGATTCTACAGATAATGGCTCGCACAATTCATTGGCATGTTCTTGAAGTGCGAGTGCTGATTCGAACCTGGCTGTCTAATCGGAGCAATTCTGCTCAAACCACTGCCAACAAAAAGCTGGGTTCCCCTGTTGAGGAAGGCGAAGAGGGGGTTAGTCGGTAAACGTTTGGAATAAAAGGAAAACGGGTGGACTGACGAGTAAGAACGGTCATAAGTTTCCAGTGTTCCGTCTGTAAATCAACAGCAGGAGTTAGGTCTCGGTCTCTTTTAGCACTCCGTGTGTATCCATGTAATATTCTGGATTGCTTCAGAGAACTCAGCGGTATATTCGGCTCAGATGCTCTTCATAGTCTAGTGGACTCACTTTACAAATGTTTCGTGAGTGCTCTTCAGTTCAGTTTATTTTTTTGAAGGGGGCCTACCGTCTCGAGTTCATCCACTTTGAACGCTGCAATCCTGTCTTTCTTCTGAGAGGGCCTTCGATGGTAAAAATCCTCCTCAGGAACCAGTCGAAAGTCCTTAGTCATTTATTTACCCATGTGATGCGTTTTACCATGGTATCGCCCAGATCGCTGTTATCAATGATTGGTCTCCTTTCAAATGTTTCTCCGCCAGCGATCAGACAGATAGTCTTTTGAGAACTCCCAGTACTCGAACTGAACCGTAATGCGATTGCTGAATCCCGCTTAAATCTGATCTCGCGAGCATAGGATACTTTCTTTCTCTCGGGTAAAAGTAACAGGTTGACGATCCCCTTTCCCTAGGCCGTTTCCCAAAGTTGACTTTATGACAGACGATCTTGCAATATGTGATCAGCGTTGTGCCGACCATGTTTTCTAGTCAATATTACGAGCATTAAAATCCCCAGCAGTAAGGACACCTCTCTTATCAGTGACTTTGTGCAGTGAACAGAGGATTTGATCACTGTCCGACGTCTAGGTAGGTGGGCTGTATGCTCCCGATAACGCTAGCAGACAGACGTACCTAGTGGAAACAATGATACGTTTGTCCGAAAGAAAGTTTAACATCCAAAGCGCCAATATGTCTTTTTTTGTCAAAATGCAATGTCTGAACAAATACCCAAAATAGGTTTAAAATCTAGTTGAACGATAACGTTAATCAAGAATCACTGGAAGAATCTTCGGACGAACTCGGTTTTAGAATTAAATGGTTAGTTTCGGTGGAGGCTAAAACAGAAAAAAAAGTTGAACAATTGTAAGATGCCGGGAAAATGTAGGTACACAAAGGACCTTAATAGCCGGCTACCGAGCGGCCAACGTATGGCAGGCAAAAAGGTTAGAATCGAGGCACATCACTCGAAATCCACTTTTGACGTGGGATGAATCAGAGATGGTGTACGTATAAGGATATTAAGTTCAAGAGGTGTGGAAAAGAGGAAGAATAATGAAAAGTTGGTTCCAGGCAAACATAGAGGGCCCTGAGACCTTAACAGACTTCCAATAAACCAACGTTATCTCAATTATTTCAATTAAATTGGTGTCTTTAAACGAAGAAAAGAACCTTTGCTAATGATTGGTTAGATTAAGCATACTTCCAGTTTAGCGGACAAGTCCTGAACATTCCAAACGTCACAAAGATCAGTCACTTTGGGGATATCTGCGACGGCATACATCGCAGAAGACCCACAAACCTCGTGGGCCGCCATGTGGGACTCTGGTTGTTGGTATAGCGAACCGGTAATTAGTTGGATAAATTAGCGCTAAAACTTTTACCTGAGCAGAGCAATTAAGACCAAATAGGATAAGTTTTGTACAAACAGTTGAATTTTTTAAGTAGGGCAAACAGTGTCCTGTCGTAGCAGTTTTGTTATCCAACTCTACTTTCAGCTAATCCTCAGAAGAGGACATGCAAGGCCGGCAATTCTGGCGAGAAAAGGTCACGTGGGATCAGCCTCGCGATGTCTGAACCTAGACAATGCGACCAGAGATAAGGTCTCAGACGCGGTGGCTCCGTGGCTCCGTTCATTAACACGCGCCAGTTCCTCAAACGAACGCGAATCTGACCCAACTCAGATGACGTAATGTTAAAGAAGTGACAAAATGACGATGGAATGAATACTTTTGGTCAGCTTGCCGTACCTCAAACCTCAGGTGCCAAGCCGGAGGTCAGGATGGGTAGGGTAGAAATTACCACTCCAGCCTCCTGGCCCTCCTAATTATCCTCATCCCAGTGTCAACTGCTTGTAACTATGCGACCGCCTGCAAGAGAGATATCTTGGAGCACAAGAGCAAAGGGGGAACCAGCATGTTTGAGCATAAAGGCGGACCGGCGCACTGTCGCTCGGCGTGAAAGTGATGGCCGGTCACTTCTAGGTCTGGCACTATAGCGCATCTATTTTTGTGTTGTTTTTTGTGTTAGATACAACGACAAATACTACTGACAAAACCATCACAGGCAAACGGCCTGTCACCCGACGAAGGCAAACGTATAGCAGTGATGCGCCAGTAAAATTACCATCTGGCTCGGAAGATGCCGATGCCTTTGCTGGTTCTGCTGCTTCTGGGGCCGGCTCGGCCTCCTCTTCCACTGGAGTCAGATGCTGAAACACGGTATCCAGCTCATCGAAGGTGAAAGCCAAACTGGCGGGAGAGGCAAGCATTTGGCGAATGCGTTTCAGTTTGGCCAGATCGATCTCCTTGGCAACCGGCGGTGAGTGCGAGGGTGAACCGGCCGGTGGCCGCTTGACTGCACGTTTCGGTCTATGCTCGTGGGACTGTTCTAAAAAACGGCGACCAACGTAAAAAAACGTGAGATGGCGGTCATTGTGAAAGTTGTGCGTGTGAGTATGAGTGACGAAAGTGGCATACGTTAAACGGAGGCATTACGCGAAGGCAGCCATTGCGCACAATTTTATCTCCAGTTGGCTCGACTTTGATATGTCGTTGGTAGTGAGAGAAAGGTGAAGCTGTTTTAGCCCAAATCCAGTGCTTTATTACCTCAACATAAACCAGCAAACAAGTTTTTAAACTATACAACAATTAGAAAGTGGCACCGCAGCGGGAAGACTTACATATACGGCACGCAACTCCTCACATGTACGGTAGGAGTTTTGGGTTCGCGCTGACCCAGCGCAACCCGATGGACGCGCGCCGCGAGCCACCCTGGTCCCCATCTTGATCCATCACATCTACAGCGCAGCCCGCTATGACGCACTAACAGTTGACATCTGTCGGGATAACATAATCCTGTTATGGACAGCGGGGGGTCTGGCTGCAACAGCTCCTTCCAAGTATGACTGAGATCAACTTTTACTTGAGTGAGATCCAACGCTTTCCCATTGAATGCCGTATCGTGTGGAGTTGGGGACCAAAGGTGCGGAATGTGACTCCCACCTCATCCACTTGGTTCCGCCCACTTCGCAACTAAACGGTCAAGATCTATTCGTTGCTTTCCGGACTACTGCTTCTGTCGATATTCCCAACTCGCATATTTCGGTGAGTTCGGCCTGGCAACTGGTTGCCACTTTGTGACCTCTGCAAACAACTCCAAGCATATTTACTAGTGGTCTGGTGCAGACCTAATCCTGTAAAAACGAATGAGACTGCTCCGCCGGTCAGGTAGGACGAAGAGGCACAATAGACGGAGATTTCACATATACAGTGGACGTGCCAACTCACGAAATGTTGGCCAAAATCCTGAAATGCGTTTTCGACTCAAAAAGACTGCTTAAGTAGGGTTGTAATGCTAATTATCGTGCAGCATAATCTCAAGATATTTCATTTACTTTGGGATACCGGCTTTTAAACTAACTTCTTTCCAGTTGCCTGCGAAAACTACGCCCCCTAAAGGGGACTACTTAAGTGGTATGCATTTTTTCCATTTATTTCAGATGCCCTTACAAATTCCAATATATTTCCTAGGAAGTATGTGTAAAAATATCCATTCTTCTACTCATTTGAAAAAATAATGTTTTCGTCATATTTTATACTTGAAAAGAGGGTATAATTTGGCTCTAAAAAGTTTCTAATCATGAGATTTTTTGAGACCACGGAACGCCCGTTCATAAAACCGCGTGCCTATGCATTTAATAATGTTGCCTGTAAAGATTACACTATAACTCAAATCTACTGCGAAATTTCATGTACCCCATACGGTCTCCTCTTAATGGCGTAAAAATGTACCATTTTCTGTATACAGAAAATACTCAGCTTGTAATTTGGAAACTCTGATTGCAAGTATAACGGCAGGTCGGGTTCAAAATTATTCGGAAATGGGGAAGTTTTTTAAAACCGACATATACCAATCCTCCGGGCATTTAATTTGGAGAAAACGTTATTTCCTTTCAAATTCGTAAAAAAATAGTTTTATGCATACTTCTTATATTTGAATCAAAAAGGGCATCAAAACGAGAAAAAACCATACTACTTAAGCAGTCATTTTTACGTAGTGTACCTTTTGCAGGCGGCTGGAAAGGAGTTCGTTTAAAAGCCGGCATTCAAAAGTAACTGAAATATGGAATTATGTTGCCCGGTAAACAGTGTTACAACCCTTCTTAAGTAGCCTTTTCAAGTCGAAAACGCATTCTAGAATTCTGGCCAACATTTAATGAATCAGCACATCTTCTGTACTGGAGAGCTGGTTCGAGCACTTCCAAGGTGTCTACAATCTCCAAAGAAACCGTCAACTGACTTCCTCAAGTGAACACCAATGATGACATCGATCGTCTGCCTTCCCTCAGGGAGACACGTGGAACAGTGCAACAACTGTGCGGTGGAAAAGCAATGAGCACAGATCAAATTGCAGTCGAAATTTACACCAATTTGTCAGGCAAAGGAACTTACTTCCCTATTTTAGGTAACGTGAAGGACGAGTCTCTCAAGACTTCAAGGACGCCCCTATCGGTAACATTTGTAAACGTAAGAGTAACCGGCATTTCCCTTCTCAACATCTCAGGCGAAATCATTGTTTGAGCCCTACTCGATCGCCTCAGCGCGCATCTGGAACAAGGACTCTTTCCAGAAACGAACTGTGGACTGCCGGAATACCGCCGAACTACGGACATGAATTTGACCGCGAGAAATAAGCAAGGAAATTGGAAGTAGGCTATACACAGGACGACAGAGTGCGCCACGGACAAAAGCCACTCTCGGAAACATTTGAGGAAACTAACTGAGTGAAGAAAGATTAAGCACTTGTTCCCACCCTCCCCAGTCTCCAGTTCTCTGTCATGTTGACGGAGGACATCTAAGAACGGCGGGAAATTGGCACTGACCACCGATTCGATGGACATCCAGTGGATGAACACATCTACAGAAGTTTCCAAGGCCAGCGTTCACGACTACTTTGCAGATGAATGCGGGACAAAAACTAAAACGGGCGAGGACATCTGGCTGACCTCTCGCCTCCAGCCACCCAACTTTGAACTGTACCACCCGGCCCTGAAAGCAGACTACACAGAACTCCGCACCAATGCCAGTGGATTTTACCTCACACCAGTAGGCAAAGGAACGTACTTGGAGTGCAATTGAATAAACGTCAAGATCAACGTCGGATCTCCAAAGCCAGCAAGGTCCTCGTTCGACTACTACAGTCCGCCTGGAGCCGCCACGGTGTCCTTCTCAACACAAAACTTCCGGTATACAAGGCCACTGCCCTGACAACACTTTTGTTTGGGGCAGAAACGTGAGCTGTGTACGAGATCCAGGCAGGACAACTATATGATTTTCACCTGAGCTGTTTCGGGTGGGCAACAAAGGTAAACTGGCAAAGGACCGCATCCCTAGTATCTACACCACGGTGAGGCAGATGCAAATGTCATGGAGAGGCCACGTCACGAGATGGCGAGTGCCTATCCAAACGACTATTCTACGACCGCGTCTTAAGGAGTGTTCACAGAGCAGGCGGACAAGTTTGGACACACTTAGGCTCTGAAGACCATGGACACTGGAGAGGATCTCGCTAAATATCGGCAAAGTGGCGCAATGCAGTTAAGGCTGGAGCGGCCATCTACAAAGCCAACCGAATCGCAGCGTCCAAAGGCGAAAAGAGTGGCTGGCATGTCCCAAGTGTTACAGATCAACGGCGCGAGCACCCAACTTCCGTCGTCACACCCACGTTGTCTACGGACACTTAGGGATCGGATTGGCCTAGTTGGGTCTTTTGGGCTCCGTGTAATGTCAACACAACAAACCAGTCTCTCATCTCACAAAATACCATCACAAGCGGGGACACACCTGCCATCTTGCCAACCATCAACCGTCCCACTTAGTGTGGACTCGGTTCCAACCTGTCCCCATTGCGACCGGTATCATAGAATGCTTTATCTGCTACGTTAGCCACCTATAAATTCATCGTATTGTGACAGGTGGATCAGTGCCTGTGGCCAACATACACCCACCACTCCTGTCCCACATGTCAACACTAGCCCTGAACGTTCGGCCATTGTAAGCGTTTTCTCAGCCAAATGTGCATACATGAATTCGGGAATCATGGCCATGTCACCACGGCTAACTCACCTCTCACACCATAAAACTTCCAGCCACCACTAGGGTCACCTCCGACGACAGTTCACCTGTCATTGCTGACGCTGTCGGACGTATGCCCCACAGCAGGATGAGAGCAGGGACGGCGACTTGCGCGTGAATTCGTTTATATTGATGTTAGACTTTCGTTGCATCTACCTCACTCTCGCGCTTCTCACTTACTTGAGTCCGGTGGCGAGATAAAGCCAAAGTGACTAGAAGCGAGATCAAGCAAAGATAGCTAGGGCGGTGTGAGCCTGCGCCTACGTGTGACGCCGCAGCTGCGTGTGTGATACTTGTTATGGGTGCGCATACCCAATAACGCCCGACAGACCCGATTTGGCAACCTTGTCGGTCCAGTGCACCTACGTGTGGCCCCTTGTAGGAACCACCTTCACCACCACCACCTCCCGTAGAACAACACAGTGCATACCCTATCACAGCACTTCGCTCTGCCTACACGTACAAACACCCATAGGCTGCACGTGGACTTACCCCATAACTTGCTCATACACTGCACCCACCGTCAACACATCGCGTCTCACTCCAACAACATGCATGTGATCTAGTTTGCCTGAATCCGTATGACGAACGACGCGTTGAGTGCAAGGATTGCACATTCCGCATACGTGGAAAGCACGTCCCTCGGCGCAGTCAAGTGCAAACAGAGTTAGGGACTAGGCCACGTGTGGGCCGCGTAGACGGGGTGCTTAACTTTGTCAAACACTGCGTCCACGCTCAGCTTCGGCCGTCCTTGGTTTGCCGTCGGAGTTCGGTGGGTGTGGGAAGAGAGCGTGCGGTAGGTGCTGCGCAGGTCTGCCTCGCTGGAAACAAATTTGTTTACAAGGCACCCCCTGCGACTATCTCGTGCGGCGGCGGCGATGAACATCGTCTTCTGCAATAGCCAGACTATCGATTTTTATAGGCGTGCAAACTGCTGACGCCGGGCCAGCCGTGCAGTGCAATGGTAGTACTTAGGATCCCATAGGAGTAGGAAAGTCGCAGAGGCGCAATTTTCACTGCCAACGGCTCTGTTTCCGTGATTTATGATTGGGAAGCCATTATTGTAATGGGCAGGAGCCGATGTCTTATCCATGCGACCCCTGCACTAAATATCGACATGAGAGCACAGGGGTCGTGAGATACGAGGAGCAGGAGAACTTGGAACAGGGTTGGGGATGGGAATACGCGGATCACAGACCTGAGGTGCGTTTAAAGAACACAAAAGGTCGTAACGGATACGATTGTGTCGGAAGACCAGGTTATGGCTTCCTGCTTAGATTAGAATATGAGCAAGAGACTAAGCGGCTGCTAGGATTCAGAAGAATTCCAAGTGCTTCAGGTAATGTAGATGGTCGAATAAAAAAGAGAGTTTCACAGGATATAAAACAGTCGGCTTCACGAAGTATACGCTTCCTCGGTCTGTAAATATTCGAGATGGGATCCGGCAAAATTTGCAAAACTGGGCTCCACGATAGCATGCTGCGTCGCGCCACACAATGCAGGATGCAAAAAATAAGCAAAAATAAAGTGGTTTCTGACACAAAACAACAGCTTCTGCTGTGTAAACAACGGGAATGTTGCCACGGCGGCAAACCACAATGACGTGTGGTCAGAAAATGTGGTGCTAGAGAGATTTACTGGGTCATTGACTAATACATGGAGTTTCCGCAAAGAAACCTACGCGGAAGTTCTTTTGCATTACGAGAGCAATCACCCGATCTCTCACAAACGGAGTGCCGTTAACAGCCTCCTTAAACCAGCAAGAACCCACTGCTCTGACAACGAAACATATCAAACAGAACGGAATTATTTGTTCAAACTGTTTTCTCAGAATGGGTATCCTAGATATTTTGTACACCGATGCATGCGACGACAGGAGTTAAAAGAAAAAGAGAAGGAACTAGATTGTTCCGAGCAGGCGCCCAAACCTAAAGACTGGCGAACACTTCCATACATTAAGAATGTGTCCGAACTAATTGAAAGACACCTGAGGAAGCACCAGATACATGTGGCGCACAAGCCGACGACTACACTTCGTAACCAGCTTGTACACCCTAAGGATAGGGTTGGCTATTTAAACCAGAAGGAAGTCGTCTATAAGATACCATGCAACACCTGCAATGCAGTTTACTGTGGTCAAACTGGGAAATCGGCCTCTACGCGAATACACGAACATCATTTGGCCGTAAGAAGGCGCGACTACTTGTCCCAAGTTGCCATGCATACGTTGGAAACTGGACACAAATTCGCCTGGGACAGGACCCGCATTGTAGGTGTCTGCTCATCTAAAAAGGGCCGTGAATTTTTAGAGGCCATCCATTCTGATAACGCATGCAACAATCGACACGTAGAATTGGATACGGTGTACAACAGCCTCAAGGAAAAGTGGAAAAGGCATTAGCCAATCAGAACAATAGACCAGCAGGAATGACAAGGCAAAATCGATTTTTTCGAAATGTTTAAATGTTGACTGTTTTGCACACTTACTTCACGTCTGAAGACGCCTTGGGGAACCAAGATCGACAATTTACAATAAAACTTGTTAATCTTCCCCAAAGAGCTTATTTCTTTCGAATTATGATTCTTGGGATGCCTGTTTTCTAGTATGAGCCTCAAGGCACAACGGAACGATCATGTTCCCTAACCTGATCGGCGAGCGCCCACTGTCATAATTGATATTCCCGATCACAACCGACAGGACAACGGGCCCGTGGCTCAATATTAGAGCGTCAAACTCCATGACCACAGATCTCGGGTTCGAATCTCAAGTGATCCACACTTGGGGTTGGGTATGACTGGCTGATGACGGCTAATAAGCCAGAAATGGCCATTCCGGTCTCCCTTGTCTTTGTCGGCTCCATCTCATAGATATATATATGGCAGTAATTTACGCCGTACCTCAAACATTGGTGCCAGCTAAGAGCGCAAACACTGAAGTTACCCCTACTTCGTGACGCAAATGCAGTGTATTTGGCTCCTCAGCGGGTCTTCCTGAGTTCTCTATATTGGTTTCTGATATATGAACTCCGTGTCTAGGCGGCTGGCAAGGGAAATTTTCGACCGAATATGGAGGGCAGAGAGCTTTAACATTCTCTTCGGTAGATCTGGGAAGCTCATTGAATCGAAAAGGGTTATCGACAAATTTTATGGATACTCGAATGGTAGTTTCTGGCTGGAGCTGGGCTCGACCTCGGGTTATGATGGCCAGTACGAAAAGAGTAGTTATTTCACTGTCCCTCATATTCTTCGAAGAACTTAGCGATAGGTCGTCTGGATAGGATCTGGACTCGAAAGACCAAGGCAAAGCTGCAATGTTAATTTCTGTCTATCAACAAGAATAGGTGGGTGGACACTCCTCTTATACTAAATTATATCACCCTTGTGGTTATTCAGCGGGGAGTCAGTTAGAAAACACAATGGCATGACAGCCCTCGTGGATCCCATAAGGCAGGGGTAGATGAACTTGAGCGGCTGGCAGGTTGTTTGAAGTTTGATAGGAGATCCTGGAATTACAGATACTGACGGAAGATGCACTTATGGGAACGTAGTACACATATCCGACGCAGTGTGAAATACGTTTCAAATGGAGAGACGTGGTTGCGACGTTTACTTATGCTGTTCGAATCTCACTCGATCACTATTTCTACTCAACTACTCATTTGCGGTCGAGTGGACTGAGGGCCATGTGATACTAATCGAAATTTGAGGGGCAAAGGGAAGATAGCTTGGCGTCTTGGCGATGATGGCGCTAAATAGGAGGAAGGGAGGGTAAGTGGCACTTCATTTAATAAATTTTACACCAGAAACTGTATCTTACTAGTTGTCGGGGTGCGTAAGGGCTCCTCCATCGAAGGAGGACTGCCGGGTGGGGTTGATTCCGCTGCCGCCGTCGACTGGACTGAATTCTGCGACACGACTGGTCGGCTCGCAATGGCTTTACCAGACGCGTCCGTTCCGTCACATATCTGCACCTCCGAAGCCCTCACACTGACTGTGGTGGAGCCCTGTGTCTGCGAAGTGGACCTACTGACGACAACAACGGCAGATGGATCCTCCAGGTCCTGAAAAAAGTCCGAAGGCGTGAAAGCATTCAAGTCAGTCGAAGGAGGAGGAGGAGGGGGGGTTGGTAACAGCCAACGGCGGACAGGCTGCTCATCAGACAGGGGACTAGAGGGTGCTACAGAAGGACCTGGCGGATCACTGTTGTCTACAACTGTGGTATTCTGTGCAGGAGAATCTGGTTCGGACTCCGCCGCTGAATCTGATTGGTCCATTTCTGAAGGGAAGAGGGCGAGTCTGAGAAAATGCGCAGGACAGATCAAAGAAGCTGAAAAAAACCACCACCTAAGCCTAAAACGACTTTTTGCTCTAACCTGGCCGCTCGGTGAGCAGCCCATAGTTCGAAAACAAAAAAGTAGTCGATGCAGTGTCCAACAGAAGACTAGACATTCTAAAGTTACAAGTACTGCGAAACAAGAAATCGCTGCGGGATAATCGACCCCCGTAATGTGTAACAGTTCGACCGCTGTTCCAACCGGTGTCCATCGTGTGCCCTACAGCAGAGTGGGCACAGAGACGGTCACTTGCACGTGAATGAGTTCACAGTAGTAGTAGTAGTAGTAGTAGTAGTAGTAGTGGTAGTAGTAGTAGTAGAAGTAGTAGTAGTAGTAGTAGTAGAAGTAGTAGTAGTAGTAGTGGTGGTAGTAGTGGCAGTAGTAGTAGTTGTAGTAGTAGTAGTGGTGGTAGTGAAAGTAGTAGTAGTAGTAGTAGTAGTAGTAGTAGTAGTAGTAGTAGTAGTAGTAGTAGTAGTAGTAGTAGTAGTAGTAGTAGTAGTAGTAGTAGTAGTAGTAGTAGTAGTAGTAGTAGTAGTAGTAGTAGTAGTAGTAGTAGTAGTAGTAGACTCCCACTGCATCTACCGCCCCCTCCCTTCCCTCATCCGCCTGTCCGCGGTGTCATGACAAGGTCAAGAAAACCGGAGACGGAGTCAGGCGCAGTGGCTGACAGATCTGGACAGTCCGACTACACACGCCAGGTCAGCGCGAAATGGACAAGGATCCCACACAAACAATAAATGGGGGCGGCTCGGATCTCAACTGAGTGGTAACGCCATAGAAACCACACTGACAGGGAGTTATTGTAGCCTAACTGTTCGTCCTGAGGTGACCGAGCTACCCCGTCAATTAGCAGCCTTCAAAGTCACGGCTTTTAATGCACCGCGATGGCCGTAATGAAGAATATACGCTGAGAGTCGGCCTCACTCTCGTCAGTTTACTTTGCAAGCCGGTCAGCCAACATACGGACTAGTATTAGCGTAATTATCGTAAGGATTACCATGATAAAAACGCCTCTCCTCAACTTACGCTAGCGTTTAGGCGCGGAATATGCGAATTAAGCATTTTACTGTCGAGACCTTCATTTAACGCAATGTGCACTGGTAAATGTCACTTTGTAGGCGCTGAAACGTATAAAACACTGGTCAAACTTATCCCACCTCTCGAGTACGAGCCACTTTATTGAGTTCCCAGTTAATCTTATTCGAAATTTAGCAGATGTTGCAGACCTCAAAGACGTGCGGTCAGATGGTGTGGTGCGTCACTGTGTGGAAGTATCCTTGCAAAGGCAAAAATAACGAACGATTAACTAGAATTGGCGCTGTTAAAGACTTTCATATCGCCGTCCTGCGCATGCTCGCATGATCTACCGCACTTCTCATAACCCTATCGGTCTCTGCCCACGAAGCTCTTTCTCTCACTGGGTTTACTCCTTCATAGTGGGTTTATGCAGCCCAAAATCTGCTAGTTAGCGGTATCCTCCATAAGAAATATCATTAAGAAATCATGCTATATGACTCCTAGGAAGAACCTACCACGCAAGGAATCATGGACGTAAATGCCAATGTATGATAAAAAAAAACAGGCGGAACGAAAATGGCTGGAAAAAGTGTGCTCCTCTTAATAACCGTTACGACTGCATAAGATGTTGAAACCTACCTTTCAGCAGAGCTGACCTCCTTTCCTTCAACTTTGCCCTCTCTTTTTTCGTCTAAAAAGGATGAGTACGTTGGGAGAAGATAAGTAAAAACGAATAAAACAAATTACGAGTTAAGAATTATCAAACTGGACTAGAGTCTTTGCACGCAGAGGGATTAAATCAGTACCACAAGGTCAGACGAAGTTAGCACATTCAAGACCGTCACCTCGTCGGGCGCTGTTGAGTCAAATCAAAAGAGGATCAAACACATCGATGGGCATATGTGTTGTGTGATGATCAACCTTACTAACAGCACAGGTACTAGTTAAAAGTCCAGACATGTATTTCGCAAATATTCTGCAACATATGAGAGGGGTCCGACTCATCAGTGGGACCTCCAGCGTTCCATGTGGGTTTTCTGGCAGAAACTCCAGTTTTAAATTTCCGTTTATAAATCACCTCGCCGCTAGTATGGAAATATCACATAATATACGTACACTGTTGATAGTTTATGAATATTACGCGGTCACCTGGCTGAAGCTCAAATATTCAAATTAAGTTTCGGACTGGGTTTATAAGACCTCTTCCGACTGATTTACTTCCAGTCAGCACAATAAGTTCTGAAGAGACCAACAGGGGTGAAATACTAGTACGCGTAGACAAACGCAAAAGTCCAACTAGCTATCGCACCCAAGTTCACCTCTAGTCGCCTTGATTCAGACTGGCCATTGAAGTTTGATGGGCGGGGGAGAAAAAGGAGATTGACGCCGCACACATTGACTGTGATCCAAATATCACTCAAGTCAACACTGACCTCCCAGGTGGTGGCGTGCCCGGCGTTTTGAGCGGGAAAACTACCGATCCATCCCGTGTTGTTGGTATCCCCGCTACACGGGTTAGGCGTGTGAGAACAGGAATCGAATGCGAATCAATGCATCGGGAGGGTCAGGCCAAACTGCAACTATGATAGACTACGATCCTGCCCATAGGACCTGGTCAGTTATTTCGCGCATAAATGCTGGCAGGTAAACGGGACATGCATGGTCCCGCAGCGAATTCCAGGGGAATTCTCTGGTGCGCCGTTACACAGACGACGCGAATGAAGCAACGTGCGTCAACGTTATGCAAAGGTGGGCAATATGCGCACAGAAGAACTTCACACAGGTCCCACAGTTACCACGGCTCAAAGCCACCAAGCCAGCCACCCGCATGTAATTACCTTCGCCGGGGCCCACCTTCTCCCTGGCGCTGACTGGAATTGTGGTGTTTCACTCTACCCTCTCCTCTCCAAACTCGAGATACAGCTTAATTATCTACTTGCCCGCATCTTTTAATTCATTAATTCAATAGCCATATAAATGTTCAGGCCTGAAGAGACGTATGCTCGAGAAATTGTCTTTTGAATTGTAGAGAAGCTGAAATTCGAAAGGGTCAAGTGGGAAGAACCGACAGTCACCGGAGTCTCACGTTTCAATCACTGACCTCCTCACAGGTTCCCACCAAATGCAAAACTGTGACAACTAAAACTTCGATCCAGTTACCACAGGCGAGATTGTAGTGCCTCAAAGTGGAAACTAGGCCATAAGTGAGGGAAGCATTGTAATTCCGCTAGAGAATTGAACGCTCACAGTCAGCGGGAACAAAAGTAACTAAGCACATCTTTTCTGGAAGATTTTAGGTGCATGTCCGTCCGCAGTAACTCGCTTGATGAGATTATGAAGCAACAACGATGGAGGGTGAGACAAAGATTCAATACTACTGTGCCAAGCCTCGTAGTCTCGGCAACCGTCAGTTTCTACAGCACGGCGGCGCGACTGAATAAAGCACAGAGTTGTGGATCATGTTCAAAACGTTCACAGCACAACTTTGTACGCAAACGACACACAGAGCACACATCCCCGCTGGGAGGCCGAGGGGGAACTTAAGGTTGTTACAACAGAAAACTAACCTGCTCCAGGGCAGCGTTGAGTCGACAAATGCAGAGCTCCAAAGAGGCCTGTTGCTTTTTCAGCTTATCCAGTTCCTCAGAAATTTCCCAGACTTCATGCATACGGCTGAAAGTGGTGGAGCTGGACACCGCAATGTCCCGCCCGAAGCGACCAACGGACTGTGAGGCCTGCTTCAGCCGTTGCGAATTGCGCATACCCCTACGACGATTACGCAAGTTCGTGTACCGTTCACCGTAGGAATGAGAGTTCAGATGCTCTGAGTCGTAGGAGTGAGGAGGCGGATGCGAAAGCATTCCACCAGAAGTGCCAATGTGGGGGTCAATGTGGTACCGTTTGTGAGGATTTCGAAACTGAGTATGCGAGTTTTGACCCTGTCGGCCCGGCTCCACCGAACAGAAGCGACCGCCACGAGCCAATCCGTGAGAAGACTGCCTGTAACGGGGTCGTTTTCTGTACGACCGAGTTCGGTTATCCTGAAGGAGAAGATTTTAGGAACAATACGGCGTACGGCGGGACGAACACAATCAGAACATAAGCAAACGGAATCAAGGAACTAGGCTATCAGTCAGCAAGCCATCCAACCGAAGCGGCTTCTGAAGCAGCAGAAAGGCACTACTGCACAGGAACGTGTCAGGATTGTCCCTCAGCAGGTAACGAGAGTGAGCTACATTTAAATATAACTTACAAGACAACATGCAGCAAGTACGCGTCCAATTATACAGGTTTGATCGAAATATTGACTAACTGGGCTGGTCTCCGGTCATAGATCGCTGCACGCAGTCTGGAGACGGCGGGTGCAAGTTCGGGAAAAAAGCAATGGCAACAAAGAATAGCCGCTAGTTTCTTGAGAACTAGGTCTCTGATCAAAAATATAACAGTTTCATACTGCTTTTTTTTCGAGGAAACCCCACGAGGTGCCGGCTCGCTCCAATATGGTGCGACCGCAATTGCGAACATGGGTATTCCTGGTCGGGGGTTATAGATATGTCCCAAGGCCTGTTTATTTGTTGTTCCTCATCAGAGTCTCTGAAATCTGCGTCTCTTGCAAAAGACTCGTACTTATCTGCAAGTAGGAGTACCGACAAAGACAAGGGAGACTAGGATGACCATTTCTGGCTTATTAGCCGTCGTCGGACAGCCCTAACCGAACCCAGGTTTAGCAGAACCTGGGCCTCCATCCCATATTCTTTGGCCAGTGAGTACTACTAAGTCCAAAGCTCTGTCCCTTGAGTCACCGGCTCTTTGTCCCGTTGGTAAGAATCGTGAATATTAACTAGGTTGGGAGTGTGTTCACCGATCGGGTTACGGGACACGCCCATTCCGTTGTGCCTTGGTTGCACTTGTCTACAAAAAAT